GTATTATCTGCAAGTGTGGGTATTCTTGTGCATATGCCCTCTCTTCTTATCAGCTGGATGCTTCTCTCTCCACTCTAGTCCTCTGTGGCTATGTCACTGACTCTGGGCCCAAGAGTCTCCAGGTCTTGCCACACTGCTAGTCCATGGTACTTTCAATATTTTCCTCCAAACCATAATGCACATACTTCAATTATTCTACAGTCTTCCTTATTCAGTGTCCAACTTTCGCATGCATATGAGGCTATAGAAAATACCAAGCCTTGGGTCAGGTGCACCTTAGTCCTCAAACTGACATCTTTGCTCTTGAACATTTTGAAGAGGTCTTGTACAGCAGAGTTGCCTAATGCAATACATTGTTTGATTTTTTTTTATTGCTGCTTCTATGAGTTATAATCTTTGCCTAGGAATCCATGGCAAGACATAGTGTGGACTCCAAAGTCCACAGACTTAGCCATGAGATGACTTTTTTCTCTCCTTCCCCAAATGCTAGTGGTGGGGATAAACCAGCCACCGACTGGAGTCTTTGCAGCCACAGACTCCATAGGACTTTGGCTTCATCACCTCCACCTCTCATTTGTTTATTCCAACATAACATCTAGTCTCTCTCTCTGACCTTTTCTTCTCTCTTTTCCTTCCTTCCTCCTCTTTTAAATATAAAAACTGTACCTTCTCAAGAAGGAAAACACAATTCAGATGAGCAGGAAACTGCATAGGAATCCCTCCTCCATCAATACTGGGGCACCTGCTCATGTCATTGAGAGACAAGGAATTCTTCCCTAGTGCCCGTTACAGGAAACCGGAGATTTCAAGGGAGATTACCAAGAATTCAAGAGTTGCCTATGTCTTTAGGGAGCAGAGTGGATTGGAGTTATTCATAAAGTTTCTGTCTTAGGCTCTAGATCCAGCCAGGCCTGAGTTCCAAACTCAGCTTTGCTACTTTCCAACTGTGCGGCTTTGGCCTTTTCTCTGGGCCTCAGTTTCCTCATCTGGTGTCATTGTGATGTTTAAGGGGAATGATACATGTAAAGTACTGACAAAGGCGTCTGACAGATACTCACACACTCTCTATGTGGTAATTGTTAGCTGCCCTTGAGTCAGTTCCGCCCCAGAGCAACAGAATGAAACACTGCCCAATCCTGCACCATCTCACAGCTACTGTTGGTTAAAGCCATTGTTACTGTCACTGTTTGTCCATCTCATTCGGAGTGTTGCTCTTTATCACTGACCTTCTACTTTACCAAGCATGATGTCCTTTTCCAGGGACTGGCCCCTCCTGGCAACATGTCCACAGAATGAAAGACATACAGCATTCTGGCTGTACTTCCTCTAAGACAGATTTTTTTATTCTTCTGACACACGCTATATGTTGTTGTGAAGTGCCATCGAGTTGGTTCCGCCCCACAGCGACCCTGTATAGGGTTTCTGAGGAGTAGCTGGTGAACTCGAACAGCTGACCTTGCAGTCCAGTGCATCAACCCTCACCTTCAGGAAAGTTCCATTTCAAGAAAGACTTATAACAAGGCAGGTGGTATAAAAAAACAACAACAAAAAAACACACACACACACAACAAAACACAATAGCCTATGTCTATATACAGCACCACACTTTCTATAGACATTGCTGTTGTGTTTTTTGATTACCTGCCTTGTTATAATATTAGTTAATGATTGTTGAGTATCCCCTCTGTTCCTTAGCCATCCTGGGCATGTCATATGCCCGATTCATTTATTTGTTGAATGTGTATTCACTGGCCATGAGTGCCCAGCATTGTTTTAGGCATCTGGGATACAGTAAAGAACAAAATGGACAAAGATTCTTGCCTTCATGGAGAAATAAAGCAATGACATGCATAGACATCTATCGCGTTTTAAGGAGTTGTTGTTGTTAAGTGCCATCGAGTCAATTCCGACCCATCGTGACCCTATATAGGGTTTCCGAGGAGCAGCTGGTGAGCTTGAACAGCAGACTTTGCAGTTCAAACAGCTTTGCAGTCTGGTGCATTAACCCACAGTGCCACACCAGGAGAGGAGACGAAATTTAAATGGGGGAATGCCTATCTGAGACAATTCCATTTCAGAAAGACTTAAGGAAGTAAGGGGCAGAGAGATAGCATTCTTAGGACAAAGGAACTGCCAAGGCAAAGGCCCTGAGGCACACCTGTGCCTACCATGTGGCTGAGGCAGAGATTGTGAGGAGGAGAGCAAAGGAGATGTTACCAGGCACATCATTTAAATAATGTCCTCACCGATTCCTCCAAATAATCCTACGGGAAAGAGACAGTTGTTACAGTTCCACTTTTCAGATGAGGAAATAGACCCAAAGAGCTAGAGGTATTTGCCAGGAAGGGGTGGAGCTCTGAGAGGGCTGTGCTGTATTTGCTGTTCCCCAAAGAGGAAGATGGAACTGTCTCCACCTCCCTCAGATGCCAGTGCCCTGCTTTTTCCTAGGGTCCTGCAACTGACCTTGTCCTTCTTGCAGGCCCCTCAACTGGGAAGCCAACAACACTCCCTTGACTTGGCATGACCAGCTCTCTGGTCAGGAATTTGGTACCAGCTTGGACCTCTTCAGTGGAGGCAGAAGGCTGCAGATATTCCAGCCAGCCATTTACACCTGCTTCATACAACAGGAATTCGTGGCTCGATTCAATCCCATGTTCAACCCAGAGGTGCTGGAGACTCAGAGGGGTGAGGAAGCAGGGAAAACCCAGCAGAAGACATCCATCCTCAAGGCTTTGAAGGTTATATTGTTTATGGCCACAGTCCTGGTCTTCATTGGGGCATTGTATAGGTTCCTCCGTCCTTCCCAGAAGAAGAGATGCAATCAGGTGCTGCTTGTGAAATAAAGGATTTGACCTCTTGTTTCTTCATTGCCTCAACTCTCTTTTCATGCCCATCCCACACGAGGCTCTGTGATGTGACATGAACCAAACAGAGTTGTAACTGAGCTCTTCCCTATGCCAAGTCCTAAGTTAGCTCAGTAGTAATCCCATTCCACAGATGAAGAAACTGAGGCAAGACCACTTAGGCATTGGAGGCGGACTCCAGTTCAAACCCAGATTGCTTGGTTCACCCAGATCCCTGTGTTCCTTGGAAAGAGAAAAGATAGGATGAAGCCATTCCCAGGGTGCACCAGGGGTATGGTAGACTGTAACCACCTCATTCACCTCTCTCCCTTAAGGACAAGGACTGAGCTGGGAGCAGTAACTCCCAGCTTTCCCAGATCTGTACTGAGCTCTAACCTTTCCTACCTGTCCCTTGTCCTGCCCTCCCTCAATGGTGGCCAGAGCATCCAGGTCTAGCCATATCTTCCCAAGTCAAAAGGGGCTACAGAGTGGTGATCCAGAAGCCAGATGACACATCACTCTCCCCGCCCCCACCCCCAAGCTGCTACAATGGGCAGACCCCCCCCTCAAGATCCAAGAAGGGGAGTCAGGCCAGCTCCACCAAGACAAGGCGCCAAGCCTGGCTAGACCAACCCACGGGAAATCACCAGACTGAATGTTCCCAGAAATTATAGACTCTGTTGAACAGAGTGAAAGAGTGAGAAATGAAATATTAATACCTTTTTAAATTCATTGCCCTAACATTCCACAGAGAAACAATGACAGGATAGATCTGACACTGTCTCCAGAACAGAACTTCTGCCCTCGAGGACAGAGGGAAGAGTTGACTCCCTCACACATTAATACTGTTGCCAACACACTTAAGAGACTCAGAGATACCTGCCTGCAGAATGAGGGGAATGCTCATTGAGAAAGAAAGGGAGTTCATTGGGAAGCAGGGGGAGATAATAACAAAATTACTAGCCAACAGTGTTGGGCATACTTTCTGCAAGCATTATGTCCTTCACACCACCCATGAGACTAGCAACAGTACTATTAGCATTGACCTTATTTTGCAGCTGAGAACATTAAAATCCAGAGAGCTCAAGCAACCTGTCTGAGGTCACACAGCTTGGGAAGGAAGGGGCCAGTAAAGGGATGTCTCTGTAGTACCCACTCTGAACTGCTCCCAGGAAGCTCCGGATGTTTGTAGTAGCTAGAAGTAGGACTAGCAAAGCCAAGCACAGATACAGTGCCCCAGTCTTGTCTGTCCAGCACTGAACATCACACAAGCCTCGTGACTGGCCCTGTCAAGGCCTCACTGTGGCCAACTGGCTTTCAGGTGACCCCCAGTGATGTCCTACCTCTTGGTGTCTATGTGTATCTATGTGATCCCGCCCCTTGAGTGTGGGCAGGGCCTGTGACTTCTAACCCAATATACTAGGATTACCAACTCAATGCCTTATGGGAAGCAGGCACAAAACATAAATAAGGGGCAAGGTCTTCTGGGAGTGGGCTTCTGGAAAGTTCCTATTCTTGGGAGTGGAAGAGTGGGGACTGTGCAGCCGTGTCATAAAAGCCTAGTTAACTGGTTGATTGCCATGCAGGGATGTACGCCTGGTCCTCAAGAGAGTTTCAAGTGATTCTAGAAATCAAGTTGCTTTTGTAAAGCTGCAATTTATGAATGCTGACTCCGAAGCATTTTCAAACACAATACAAGTCAAATAAAACATGTCTGCTGCCTAAATCAGTCCACAGTCTTCAGTTTGTGAACTCTTACTTCACCTTTTATTAGGGTCACGTGTATATTTCAGTTTTCAGGGATTCATCCAACAAATATGGAGATGGAACAGTCAGAATCAGCTTCTCTGAAGAGGTGACATTTTAATGACAAAAAAAGCTGGACACATAGAAATCTAAAGAAAGAGTGTATTAGTTTCCTATAACAAATTACCACAAACTTAAAACCACACATTTTTATTCTTTTACAGTTCTGTAGCTCGGCAATCTAAAATGGGTTTTATTTGGCTAAAACCAAGGTTTTGACAGGACTGCATTTCTTCTGACAGCTCTAGGGAGACACCATTTCCTTGCCTTTTCCAGCTGCTAAAGGCCACCTGGAAGGAGCTCTGGTAACGTTCGAAACTACCAGCTGTTCCACAGGAGAAAGATGAGGCTTTCTGCTTCCGTAAAGATTTACAGCCTCAAAAACTCTATGCAGGGTCACCATCCATGAGTCAAAACTGACTCCACGGCACACCACCACCACCACCAAAGGCCACCTGGAGTCCTGGAATGGCGTTGTGGGATAATGCACTGGACCTCAAGGTCAGTTTGAACCTCAAGGCCAGTGGTTCAAATTTACCATCCACTCCTCAGAAACCCTACACAGTGTTGGAAACGACTTGACTGCACTTAATAACAACAACAAAGGCCACCTGGAGTCCTGGTGTGGCACTGTAGGGTAAGCACTTAACCACAAGGTCAGTTTGAACCACAAGGTCGGCGGTTCAAATACACCAGCTGCCCCTTGGCCTATAAAGGGTCGCTATGAGTTGGAACTGACTCGATGACACTGAACAAGAAGAGGCCATGTACAAAGAGACCTGGTGACACGGTGGCTAAGCACTCAGCTGCTGAAAGGTCAGCGATTTCGAGCCCACCAGTAGCTCTAATGGAGAAAGATTGTAGCCTGTGCAGTATACAACAAGAGGGAGGTTAGCAGAAGAATGATGAAGACATAGGGAGAAATGCAAGGGTTAAAGGGAACAGAGGCAAATACTGTTAAACAAACAGCCCTGTTTTACAGGTAGATACATGGACAGATACACAGTCTGAATGAGTATAGGGGGAAGAATGGGCATTGTTTTTTTTAAGTGCCATCGAGTCGGTTCTGACCCATGGCGACCCTGTATAGGGTTTCCGAGGAGTAGCTGGTGAGCTTAAACCACTAAGCTTGCAATTCAAACGACTTTGCAGTCTGGCACATTACCCCACAGCGCCACACCAGGACTCCGAGGAATGGAAGCAGGCCCACGAATATATAAGGGTTTGACAGAGGATGTTTGTACATGGGCATTTATTTACTTTTGCTGCAATCACATGTAGGAATGTGGTGAAGCATACAGGAGACAAATTGATGAAAACTTCTTGGACATTACCAAACACCTTGTGACAACAAGCTGTTGGGCCTGGGGGTCTCAGGACCATAGTCTCAGAGGACACCACGATCAATTGGCATAATGTAATCCACAAAGATAATATTCTATCTCCTACTTGGGTGAGTAGTGATGAGAACAATAGAACTTCCTGAGTGGCCATCTAAGGTGCAACTCTTGGTCTGTCCATATGTGGGAGAAAGAAGAGTGAAGAAAACAGAAGATGGTTGGAATCAGTTAGTTCCATGGACTAATGGATGGACCACAGAAACACCAGTTTCTATGATCTGAGACCAGAAGAACCAGATGGTGCCTGGCTACCACTACCAACTGCTCTGACACGGATCACATTAGAAGGTCCTGAGAGAGTGAGAGACAAAACTTAAATCTATATATATAGCTCTGGTAGTGTAGTGGTTATAAATCGGGATGGTAACCTCAAGGTCGGCAGTTTGAAACTACTAGCTGTTCCGCAGGAGCAAGATGAAGCTTTCTGCTCCTGTAAAGATTTGCAGCCTCGGAAACCCTGTACAGGGTCGCTGTGAGTCGGAACCGACTCCAAGGCACATAACAACAACAACATGTCTATATAGATATAAAGACTGGGATTACTGTTCATAAAGAGACTGGAGGAACCCGAGACTGTGGCCCTCAGCCAACCTTCAGGTCTGGAATGAAACTCACTTTCATGGCCCGATTTTCAACAAAGCAATGGATAGGTATATTGGGAGGGCAACACTAGTGAGGAACGCTCACCATAGAATGGTCAACCATTCCAGATCACAAGGGCAACATTTATCTGGGAACAAGGTTCAAAGGGGTTGGGAAGGAACTAGAATCCACAGGGAGGAAGTGCGATAACTATTTTTGACATCCTGCTAGTTTTAAAATGAGTCATCTCAGAAGCAGAAATGAGGGACTCTCACTACCATCAAGAAAGAAGAGCCCGGAGTGGAATGCATCCTCCTTGATCCAGGACACAGAGAGCTGTGGCACTCCAGACAGCAAACGACAAAGAGACAGTGGCAGAAGCAGAAAAAGCAGTCCAAGTGCGCAAGGCAGAGGGGCGGGGCTAATATTGCTGCTCCACAGAGCTAGAGCTGAGCACATTTGGACCAAGCCTTACTGGTGGAGTGGATACTTTAATCAGCAGAGCTACACTTGCCCAAGTAGAGCAGAGGTCAACGGGCCAAAGGACTGAGTCGCCAAGACCTAAAAGAGCTTTGTAACACTTGTCCAAGCAGACCATAGAGCTGAGGGTCTGACGTGCGTTTGAGCACAGCTGAGAGGAGGATGTCCTGAACGAAGAACTGTACTCTTCCTGAACATCCCTGATCCTGAGATGTAGCCAGTTGTAATTGTGAATACGGTTTGTGAGTTCTGTAGGACCATTGCAATGAATTATGGAACCCAACAGTAATGAGCTCTGGTAGCGTAGTGGTTACGAATCGGGCTGCAAACCGCAAGGTCAGCAGTTCGAAACTACCAGCTGTTCCGCGAGAGAAAGAAGAGGCTTTCTGCTCCCATAAAGATTTACAGCCTCGGAAACCCTACAGGGTCGCTGTGAGTAGGAACCGACTCCACAGCACATAACAACAACAACAACAACACTAAAGTCGAGAATGCCCTGGGAAGATTGGTGTCCGAATTGGTAAAGAAGGTTGTAGCGTGGAGGCATGTCGAACTTCTGCCTCATAGGAATCGACATTGGGCTAGTGAGTTTGATCATCCATGCTCCTGGTAAAGTCAGAGGGGGCTAGATGCCAACCCTAATCCACCCTTATAGTAATCTAAATGCAGATTTTAAAATGGGCCATTCCACAAGGGCAGAGGCCTAGCCCAAGCTTGGTAAGTAGACCATGG